AGGAAGCTAACCCAAGTGGTCTCACGTCAAAAGCTTTTCGGAATCAACGGAAATCATCAAAACAAGTCAGCGTCCAGAATCTGCTAGGGTGCTGCGACACCATCTTTTGGTCCGTTGGACCGTGTATCATGTTTGGGCCCATTAGGGGGCGCGTCCAGGGTAGGCGACGACCCTAAGACCTTTATAATCATACGCCGCCACCGTCGTTAGGGTTTGGGTTTTGCTTAGATTATTCTGTGAAGAACAGTTTTGCCGTTCATCGGTTTGTGAGACTCCAACTTCGTGAGATAATCATTCATCTGCAATTTGGTTGCGTTTTTTCTTGTTCTTGCTTGTGTTCTTCGTTGCACAGGCAGGGATTAGCCTTCTTGGCGAGGTCAACCTAGTCTGTGACTTGGTTGATAACCAGAGGAGCTATGGTGCTAAGATTGCAGGGTTCAATCTTTCGATCTAAAGCCGGATCGGTGTGTCATTCTCCGCCACAACGATAGTTACCACCACCTGACGGAAGATCGGGATCCCCGTCTCCATTATGTGGTATCAGAGCTAAGGTATACCGTCAAGTTCACTTTTATTCCCCAGTTTGAGTGTTTCGCATTCGTCCCATAGTCCAGTGCCATACTCGTTTTTCCTGTCCTATAACCTTCCGCGCCATAGCCTTTGCATATTTCAGTTTCAGAGTCCGTCGTGTTGAGTTTGTGTCGAGTCGAGGTCTTGTTGCTGGTTAGGTCGTGTTAGAGTTCAGTTCGTGTGTTTTTCCCCATTGTTTCCATCAAATCTTTGCTGTTGTGACCAGTTTTGTGCACATTGTTCCCGTTTTGTCCTCTAATTCGGAGCCAATTCTTAAAATTGGTCTAGTTTTCGCATACGAACTCCGATTTCGACGTTCCATATATCAAAATCGATCAGAAAAAAAAATTCAGATCCGTCCATCCCCAGTTTTGCTAGGGTTCAAAAATTCCACAAGCCACGTCTTTCACTTGTTTAAGCTCATATTTTCTGTGGTTACTTCTTTTGTGCTCCTAAGTAAAGGAAAAATATCAAAAAAATAAAATAAAAAAGTCAAAATTTCCTAAAAAAACAACGACAGCCCAAAAAATAGAAAAAAAGAGAGGGACAAAAGAGGAACAATATTTAGAGGAGCACATAGAGAAGACCAAAGTGAGCTGTGTTAGCATGTGCTGTCTGTTTCCTTGTTTGTGTTGTTGTTTCCATCCACCATACTTATTTTTCATACACCTGTCACCTTACTATCCACCATACTTTTGTCACACACCTGGTACTTGGAATATTTTAGACCAGCAACGAGAACAAGTACTTTGGACTATAATTCAGCATTACTTTCTATTACTGACTTGTGTGCCAGATATATATATTACTCTTTGTGTGCCTTTCAAGCTCCACAAATTCTTTAGATCGGTACAGAAAAAGAGTTTTGCAATCTCGGTACCACTGCCTCATAGGTATCATGAACCAGCCGTCGGTTGTACCGCCCACTGCTTGCGTTGGTAAGAACTTTGTAAGAGGTTGGTAAGACGCTTCCACTTGCTATGAAAAGTAACACCACTGCAACCACGTAGTCATTTGGTAGGAATAACTTTCACCGTTTGTTTCTGTTTTTGTGTTTACAATAACAGGTTGTTCGTATCCACCGACTTATGATGGTATAGGTGTTGATGAGTACATGAAGTGGGAAATTACCATATATAACATATTTGCTACTCGCTTTATGTGTCCAAGGAGGAAGGTAAAAAATACAGCTAGTGTTTTGCGACATTCTGCTTTATCTTGGTGGGAGTCTTTAGATCCTTCTGATAAACCTCAAACTTGGAATGATATGAAACTTTTTATACGAGAAACATTTGTTAATCCACCTCCTATTTTGATTTCATATGATGAGGTGCACCATTTAGAGGAAGAGTCTGTTGTTATTCCTCTTGCTATGACTAACCTTCTGTAGGATAATGTACATAAGAGAGAGGATGACATGGAAGAAAATGAGGAGATCACAACCTCATATGCAAATTCAGAATCATCACTTCACAATGCACCTATTACTCCTACTGCTAAGAACACAGGTAATGCCCATGGTGCTACACTCATAGAAGGTGAGAATTATTTTAATGTACTAAATTTTTCCACAAGCCATGCTATCATAGAGCAATTGTTAGTGGAACCCTCTCTTGATTTATTTTTGTCCCATGATAATTTGCTTGAAGTTCCTTGTGATAAAGATAAATTGGTTGATGATGCTTCAGTTGTACATGTTTTGGAACCAGTCAATTGTGCTAAAAATAAACATGTTATTCATATTGCTACTAAAACTGATGAGTTCAAACTGTTGTCTTCTTTATATACTTTGGGTTACATTGAATTTGATGTTTTGTGTAACCTAGATTGTTTGGAGGAGAGACTTTTTAAATATGCTGATTTGTCTTGGTCTTCTAAACAAACATATCATGTTATTGGCAGATATAACAACAAGGGACAATATATGATACATCGAGTATACATTCATAGTAATATGAATTCTCCTTTTGTTGTACAAGATTATGATCGTTTAGAGGGCAGCCATAATAATACAAACATTTTCTCACGTTCCTCAAAGAAACAAGTTCACTTCCAAGAAGGGGAGCAATGTTGGCTGCTACCTATGTCTGCTAGACCATCTATTCCTGCATTGTCTTTGGTTAGTTCTAATTTTTTGCAGGATAATGTTGACATACATCGTGTGCATTCGGATCATGGAGTCTACGTGTTTGCTAAAATTTTTATGCGAGATGACATGATAGAAACTTGGAAACATGGTCACATTCCGTCTCATAAATATTTCAGTTCCCTTTGTTTTCGCAACCCCGTTCTCCTTTATGTTATGCAGGATCAGTTTCAAGCACAATCGACACCGAGGACGGCTTTTCGTCAAGAAGGGGAGGATGATGAGGACATGACACCCATGCATATGACCATGTTTGGTGCATGGTATGGAGGGGAAGGAGGCCAGCAAGGGTGTCCAAGTCAAGAAGGAGGCCCAAGGTTAATTCGGTTCGAGTCCCCGAGGTAGAGGCCCAAAGCAACTCAAGTTCGAGTCTGTCTCAGTTTTCAGGACCAGTCTGCCTTAAACTAGTCACCCATGATGCATCCGGACTCCGTTTTCGACGATCCACATATGGATAGAAAGCTAATTTGATAAGGAAGCTAACCTAAGTGGTCTCACATCAAAATCTCTTCGGAATCAACGGAAATCGTCGAAACAAGTCAGCGTCCAGAATCTGCCAGGGTGCTACGACACCGTCTTTTGGTCCGTTGGACCGTGTATCATGTTTGAGCCCATTAGGGGGCGCGTCCAGGGTAGGCGATGACCCTAAGACCTTTGTAATCATACGCCGCCACCGTCATTAGGGTTTGGGTTTTGCTTAGATTATTCTGTGAAGAACAGTTTCACCGTTCATCGGTTTGTGAGACCCCGACTTCGTGAGATAATCATTCATCTGCAATTTGGTTACGTTCTTTCTTGTTCTTGCTTGTGTTCTTCGTTGCGCAGGCAGGGATTAGCCTTCTTGGCGAGGTCAACCTGGTCTGTGACTTGGTTGATAACCAGAGGAGCTGTGGTGCTAAGATTGCAGGGTTCGATCTTTCAATCTGAAGCCGGATCGGTGTGTCATTCTCCGCCACAACGATAGTTACCACCACTTAACGGAAGATCGGGATCTCCGTCTCCATCACTCTATCCGCTGGTGGTTTCGGTGCTTTGTTCTTTGGTAGCATGATAAGCTCGAGCGACAATCACGGTGGTCGCCAATGTTGTTCTAGGCATTAGCCTTCGAACACCGGGTCATCGTGTGAGCGAACCAATAGGACGAATAGCGGAACGAAAGTCGCATGAGCGAGACACAAATAGTTCATTGGTTATTTCATTAGTCTCTCTTCTTTACTATCCCTAGTCTCGGGCCATTTATACACGTCCGTAGGCTTTTTGTGGACAATAATGCCCCTGCAACCACTACATATTCGGGGTATATTCCCGCCTACCCTGGACCTATTCTGCCTTTTGGGGATGTCGCCCGCCCTGGAAAACATCGGCCCTCAGGTCACCGCCTGGTCCCACACCGGGCCACCGCTCCACCGACCGAGCGGGCCAGGCGGACTAGCGTTGTCGGCGTCTTATCTCCCGACGAGCTCCTCCAAGCGAAAACCTGCAAGATCAGCCATTTGGACTACGTTAACTATCCGCCTGGGCGAATGGTCCGGACCACTTTGTCACCTCCACCAACTCTTCGCGGAGCGGCTCCCGCCGAGCCGAGACAACTATTTGCCCGGCCGAAAGCACGTGCGCGGCTTGGCGCGTTGCGGTGGTTCCGGTGGCGGCGTTCCTTGGACCGCTATTCGCCATGGCGAAACAACGCCCCGCTCGTCTGCCCCTTTCGACCTAGAGGAGAGGACAAACCTCGTAACTGAGTTGCGACGACAATTCGCTGCGACGAAATGATGGCGGCTCTGGGTGAACGGAGGGTGGCCGGACTGTCTGATGAAAACACGGTCGCCACCCCACGGGTCCTCCCTGTCGGCTCACTTCTTCTCAGCGAAATGCTAGCCGCACGTTGGGGGACAACGTCAGAGCCCGAGGGGTGCCCGCAGAGTGGGGCTGCCCCCAACAATTGTAATCAATCGATGTCTAATTGCATTTTAAAAATCTTTTCCCAACAAAAACATGAGACGCAACCACCATAAATATATTCAACATTAAGGCAATCAACATGATTGTATATAGGAAAGTGTTAAATAGCAATGGTGTCCATGGCAAACCACGTGGATTTGGATCAGATTTGCATGCCTTTAGCAAAAGGCTTGAAGGTCCTTTGCACCTTTCATCAATAGCTATGGTGAAATCGACGATATCGATCCACAGACCTTTTTTTTTTCCTTACGGTTTCATTCAGTAATTCAGTTACACGGACACCGTTCTCTCTCTCCCTCGGTCGGTCCCAAACTCCCAACCCAAAATGGCCAATCCCCTCTTAATCTTCCTTCCCCTCCTCCTCAGCGTCGCCGCCGTGCCTCACGCCGCCGACGCCGACGCCGACGGGACGGACCCCTGCGCAGGCCGGCGGATCCACATCCGCGGCCTGCCCCCGCGCTTCAACGCCGACCTCCTCCGCCACTGCGGCGCCGACGCCTTCCCGCTAGCCGACCCGTCCGCGGCGGCCACCTCGGTCCCGCCCTGCGAGTCGCTCGCCAACCACGGGCTCGGGCCTCGAACTAACCCACGCAGCCGGTCTTGGTACCGCACCGACGCGCGGCTCCTGGAGGCCTTCTTCCACCGCCGCATCCTGGAGCGGGGCTGCCTCGCCGACGACCCGGCCGACGCCGATGCCGTGTTCCTGCCCTACTACGCGGCTCTCGACGCACTGCCGTACGTGCTCGATCCAGGCCTGCTCGACGAATCCGCGCGGCACGGCGTGGCGCTGGCGGAGTTCCTGTCGCGGGACCAGGCGCGGATCCTGTCTCGCCGGCACGGGCATGACCATTTCCTGGTGGTCGCGGGGTCCGCGTGGGACTACGCGCAGCCGCCGAGCGTGGAGCCGAGGCTATGGGGCTCGACGTCGCTGCTGCGACTGCCGGAGCTGGCCAACTTCACGTTCCTGACCCTGGAGTCCCGCACGTGGCCGTGGCAGGAGCACGCGATCCCGCACCCGACGTCCTTCCACCCGTCATCTCTCGGCCACCTCCGCACCTGGCTCGCCCGCGCGCGCCGTTCGCGTCGCGCCACGCTGATGCTCTTCGCGGGCGGCGCCTCCCGCCCGTCCCGGCCCAACATCCGGGGCTCCATCCTCTCCGAGTGCGCGAACCGCACCGACGCGTGCGTCGTCGTTGACTGCTCCGGCGGCAAATGCGCGCACGACCCAGTCCGGTACATGCGCCCCATGCTGCGGTCCAAGTTCTGCCTGCAGCCGCCGGGGGACACGCCGACGCGGCGCTCCACGTTCGACGCCATCCTCGCCGGCTGCGTGCCCGTGTTCTTCGAGGACCTCGCGGCGCGGAGGCAGTACGGCTGGCACCTGCCCCCAGTGCGGTACGACGAGTTCTCGGTGCACATGCCCAAGGAGGCCGTGGTGTTCGGCGGCGTCCTAATCGTGGAGACGCTGGAGGCCGTGCCGGAGGAAGAGGTGCGGAGGATGCGGCAGCGCGTGCTGGAGATGGCGCCGAGGGTGGTGTACCGGCGGCACGGGAGCACGCCCGAGCTGAGGGAGGCCGTGAAGGACGCCGTCGACCTCGCCGTGGATGGCGTGCTGCAGAAGATCCGGAGGCGGACGCGTGCACTGGAGGACGGACTGCCAGAGAGGATTTACGCGCTAGAGGAGGGCAGCGTCGACATATAGGATCAGGAACATCCCCTTCGGCGGCATCAGGATATTATGATGCTGTGTTCCCTGTCCAAGAGTGAAACAGAGTGTGTATATGTTGCTGTTGTAGTGGAGAAATGAGATTTGTGTGTGTGTGTGTTTTTAAAGAGCTGTCGGCGAGAGCTTTGCCGGGCATGTATTGATAAAGAAGAAGGTTACAAAGATACAACACTATAAACTCACAAAACAACAATCACCAAAGAAAACTTAGCACTGACGACGAAGGATCACCCTATGCGAGTGAAGCGAGCTTTTGTTGGGGGGAGAGGGTTCTCAACAACGATGCCTCCAAGGAGGTTGCGACGTTCTTAGACGCCGCCATCGTCAACTGAAAGACCGGCACTAGGTTTTTCAACCCAGAGAAACCCAGGAGATGGGGACGTCACGACAATGGCTCTGTTCAGTTTCGCTGAAAAGATAGGTTGAAAAGTATTGTTCGTTGATTTATTGTGAGAGAAATACTATATCATGGCTGATAAACCATGCCTCTAACGAGAAACATGATGCAAAAAGCAACACCATTGCCGGATCGACAGGGTTAATTAATTGTAGTAGTTTATTGTGTCAGTATGGTGCAAACTTGCTGGCTTCCGCTGATGAATGGCATTTTGAACAGTCTATACCTCGATTCACCCAATTAGGAGCCATGAAATGAAATCATTTTTGAACCATGAATGGCAAGAACGAAATGAAATCAACCAGCATCAGGAAACACATATTGACCTTTTACAGAATGAAAGAGACCAGTTGTGTCGTCGCAAAGAATGTTGAGATGATGATAGCTAGATGGTATTGCCATTGTGCGTATGCTCTGTGTTCACTTAATTGTACAGTTGATGACTGTGTTTTTGGCGCATCAGAACTTAATTGGCACATACATAAACATCGACGATTTAGTGGAACAAATAGGGACCGCATGTGTTATTGTGTAGTTGGAAATAAGTAGAGACGACACTGTCGACGTCTCATAAAAATTACATGATAAGGAATAATCTAAAAGCAGGGACACAAAAGCACCAGTGGTCTAGTGGTAGAATAGTACCCTGCCACGGTACAGACCCGGGTTCGATTCCCGGCTGGTGCAAAATTTATTTTCTTTTCTTTTTTTGACCATTATTTTTGCTTATGTTGTTGGTTGATGACCAATCCACAGTTTACTACAAGATTGTTTGTTCTGTAATTCCTATGCCAATGAAGAACAGTCTCATATATACATCGATCGAATGATCAATGAAATACTAACCCAGAAGTGTGGCCAATCCACATCACACATAACTAATTAAATGAATATGCATATTTGCATATTTCAGTTGAGATCAGCCTCAGGTATGTCAAAAGAATATGGGATGAGAATAGTAAGAATTTACAAGAATTTCTTGAAGTATTCATTTGCTTCGGCCACCAGATGCTCGTCATCCCATTCATCACGGTAACTCTCAGGACGAGCTGCCGTGTTCACTGAATTAACAGCATACATCTGCTTCCTCCATTCTTCGATTGGTGGATGGCTACATTGCTCAGCGAGCCAATCATCATACTCAAACTGCACATAAAGATACGCATATATATGAAGAAAAACTCAAATGTATCAACAGTGAAATCTTAATATAAAACGATTGTGGTCAGGTAACAAAGCTTAACTAAGTATTGACAGACATCTCTAGGCTACCTGATAGTTTGAAAAGTTATGTGTGTATCTCTTAGGCCATCCACGTGCTTCTAGTTTCAAATAGAAAGCTTTCCCATCTTCCATCATCTTGTCTTTAGATGGAAGCTTGATCCGTCCTGATAGAACTCTAGCAACCCACTTACTTTGGAGTTCAAACAGCGGAAAGGGAATAACCTGGAAAGAACAGAGGTTGGAATGTTTAAGATCTTAGAGCTTCACAGGGTAAGTTACAGGTGCATCTTAACTGGGGCATCAGTTTGCAGCAAAACTGACTTTCCAAGGCAATCCGATGAAGGACAGATGAGGTGCCACTTCGGGTGGGAAAATATGCTTGTATAGTGGATCGACACGGTTGTCATCCACAGTGATAGTGCTATCATCTCCAAGGAATGGAAAATCATACAGGTAGCTAGGAAACATACAAATGCAAGAAACACATTATCAGATTAAGGTATTAAGCCAAATTAGCACAAAATGGCATGCTTTTGTAGGAAATGGGATGGCAGTGATACTGCAAATCACTATACCCAGTGCAGTGCATGATGACATCAGCTTTGATTGAGCTGCCATCATGGAACACCACAGTGCCATCCTCCTGCGCATGGTCAATCTGCAGCCCGAGCATTAGATTTGCCACAATACTATAATACTGTGGCAGCTCCTCCAGTGCATAAAAGCTACCATATCTTGATTCACCAGGATAAAAGATAGTTTTACCATGGAATGAAGCCACAGATTATCGTAGCCAGGCTGCTTTTTACAGGTGGAAGCTGGTGCTGATCTATCAGCAATATGGACCTCTTCCGCCATGCTTGCGATGTCTCTCGAAATGTCAAATGCACTTGCCGAGGCCCCAATTACGATCACTACCTATCGTTGCAACATATAGTCTTCGTTAACCAAGGGAATGCATAATAGGAGCATACATCACTGGGAGGAAACGCACTTGATCAAGGAATGGCTCCGGCACACGGTAATTGTGGCTATGCATCTGCTTCCCTGGCCAAGCATCTACCCCTGCCGAAGTTTGTAAGTGTAAGAATTGATCACTGAAGGTAAAAAGCATCTGGAATTTGCAATGGCTGTAAATTGTTACAGATTTCTATCACTTTCATGGATGGTCCAAACATTGCAAGTACACATAGGAAGAGGAAGCCTGGAGTTACAGGTCAGGCAGTTTATTCCAGAACCTATCCGTGCTTAGGAGCTCAAATTAACGCGATCACAGATAAATTGTATAGTACCGAAATTACCGGGTATGACGGCGATGCGTGGCTCCGTGTAGTGACCATTGCAAACCACGACGGCGTCGTAGAACTCCTCGTCGCCGCTCCCCTTCTCCCCGAGCTTCCTCGACGTCACCGCCCACCTCCCGCCGTCCTCCCTCCTCACACTGAGCACCTCTGTCTCGAAGCGGACGAGCCGGAGCAGATCGAACCGCCGCGCGAACGCCTCCAGGTAGCGGAGCACCTCCTCGTGCCCGGGGAACCTGCGGGGGTCTCGGGAGCCCGCCGCAGCGCCAGCGGCGAAGGGGAAGTCGAGGAAGCCCATGGTCTCGCGTGGCAGGTTGGTGCGGAGCGACGCGTAGAGGCTGGAGTGCGTCGCCGCGGCGCCGAGCGGGTCGGAAGACGTGGCGGGGGCGTGTAGAGCCAAGTGCCCCCCACGGCGGCGGCGCGCTCGAAGACGACGGGCGTGTGGCCCTCGCGGCGTAGCTCGCGGGCGGCCACCAGGCCCGCCGCGCCCGCGCCGACGACGGCGAGGCGGAGGGAAGCCGACGGCATGGAGATGGAGGGAGCGCGGTGGAGTGGGCAGCGGAGAGCCGTGTGGAGTTTGGGATGTTGTTGGAAGTTGGAACGAGTGGGGCGTACCTTCTCCTGTCAGTTTTTCGTCGGGGGATGTGTTGTGTGTGTTTGTTTCCCTTGTTGGCTTTTGTTCGAATTTTTTATTTTTTAGTCTTTTTTTAAGTTTTTTATAAACACGGTTACGGAGGAAAGATGTTAGAATCTGGATGCTAGCTCGACGCTATCGTCGCTGGCGTCGAAGCTCGACACATCATTGCTGCGCCGAGATCTTGATTTGACAGGCACCTCGCGCCGTAGACGTCGGCGACAACGCTATGGCCTAGGCGCCCTGTACGGCCCTGATGGGACGACGCTATGGCCGTACAAGAGGCCCAATGCACCACGCATTTTAGCCCTTGTTTCGTTCATGAAAAGTTGAAAATTTGACTACTGTAGCACTTTTGTTTTTATTTGGTAATTAATGTTTAATCATGGACTAATTAGACTCAAAACGTTCATCTCGCAATTTTCAACTAAATTGTGTAATTAGTTTTTTTTGTCTATATTTAATACTTTATACACGTATCGCAAGATTCGATACGATAGATACTGTAGCATTTTTTGAAAAGAAAATGGCTCACTGTTTTCATCATCTACTTTGCCCTGATGGGACAGCGCCCTGTACGAGAGGCCCTGATGAAAACAGCGAACAGGCTCAATAAAGCTAGAGCGCAGTGGATTGGGGGAGAAGATGAACAGGAACGAGAGGCTACTCGGACTTCGGGACGGCGGCGTTGGCGTAAACCTTTTGGCAGGGCATCCGACCAGTGCAAGAAGAGGCTGGTGTAATGTTGATATGACAAGACATTGGCTCCTAACCCACCTGTTGGTCAATACCGATGACCACGAACGAGGGATCAGACCACCAGTGGAGCTGTGTCAAATGGCATTTAGGCCTTGTTGAGATGAGTGTTAGGAATTAGAATTTGATACTGTAGTATTTTCATTTGTATTTGATAATTATTGTTTAATTATGGTTTAATTAGGCTCAAAAGATTCGTCTCGTAATTTACAATCAAACTATGTAATTAGTTATTTTTTTATCTACATTTAATACTCTACGTATGTGTTCAAAGATTTGATGTGATGGAGAGAGAGTGAAAAAACTTGGAATCTAAACAAGGTCTTAGTAGCACTGATCTGCTCTTTTAATCCTGTACAGTATATTTGTTTGTTTGGTGGATGTACTACTAGCTTATATTTTTAATCAGTGAATTAAAATTATTAGTGCTAAAAGTTTCTTTTAAATTATCAGATGCAGAAATTCAAAATGTAGAATTTTCGAACGATCATGTCAATACTCGATGCTGTTCAAAAACTAGAAATTTTGAGTTACAAAATTTAAGAATTTAAAAAATATCACTTGAATAATTTTAAATAAAAACTTGACAAAGTAGATCAAAGTAAGCTCTACAACTTTGATATAAAGTTTATTTTCTTCGACTTTGTATAGCAGGGATGCGGAAGGCTCATGGCGACCGGTTGACGAAGCCGATAGATTAGTGAAGGACAGGGCGTCAAGCGAGATCGCGTAGCGAGCGGTACAACAAGGCAGTGTGTTACCTGTGGTTACGGATGGTGGTGGGAGGCAGCAATAGCTGTGGTCGCACGCTTGCCGGAGCGCAACCGGTCACACCGTAACCGTGTCCAATAACAACTGTCTCACCATCGGTAAATCCCCTCTGTGATTCTTTATTGAGCATTTAGTAATTTATTTAAGATAACCGTTTAGCTAAAGTTAAAATTTTAGTAGTGACCAAGAAATCACCTTTCTACTGCTTCATCTGCCTGTTCAGCAAAAAGATCAAAACATTTGTAAAAAAACAAAAGATCAAAGCCAACCCACATGAATGAATTGAATTGAATGAACTGAAAGCCCAAGCCGTAGTAGTAGATGACAAAAATCTCTCCTCCACCGACTACCCCTCATGTTCCTTCGCTTGGAAGCCAGCTATGTAGAGACGACAAAAAGCTGCAGAAATAATTTCTTCTCTCCTCTGCTCCTACAGTCCTACAGTACTGTACTCGATTACTCCTACAGGTAGAGCGAGAGAGAGAGAGAGAGAGAGGAAAGGAGTGGGCAGTGGACAGTGGAGCCAGTGCGCTCTCTTCCCCTACGGGCTAGACTACCGCCAATGCCCAATGTTTCCATTGGGGCCTCTCGTACAGGGCGCCAAGCTCCGCGCCAGTCTACGACGCTAAGCTGCTTCTTAAATCACCGTCACGTCAGTGTTGAGCTTAAGATTTCAGCGTCAGCCACGATGACGCCGAGCAGTGTAAGTTCGGCGTCAGCGACAATGGCGCCGAGCTAAGGCCGTGTTTAGCTGTAGGAATTTGGATTTTGGGGCTACTGTAGCACGTTCGTTTTTATTTGGCAAATAGTGTTCAAACATGGACTAATTAGGCTCAAAACGTTCGTCTCGCAATTTCCCACCAAACTGTGCAATTAGTTTTTCTTTTCGTCTACATTTAATACTCCACGACTCACAAACATTATTTGTGATAAAGTTTGGGTGAAACTAAACAAGGGCTAAAGGTCCAGATTGTAAAATCTTTTTTTCATGAACATATTTATGAAAAACTTTAAAAAAAAGCTAAAAAAATAAAAAATCGGACGTCACGGCAGGATCGCCGCCGGCCGCCAGGCGGCGAGATTGCGTGAACGAACGAAGCGCTGCTGCCTAGCGCCCGTCTCGAGTCTCGTCCTCCGGTCGTGCGACTTCCCTTTCTCCCTTCGGCGTTGTCCGCCGCCATCGGAGGAATCAAGCCCGCACCTGTAATGTAGCCAGCCCAGCATCAACATTCCAGAGCACATATTGGGCTTTGTATTGGCTATGCCGAAACAGGAAACACTCTGGGCCAATACGAAGAGCTATTAAAGCAAAACGCCCGCGAGAAAGCAAACAAAACTTTGCGGTCGCTAACTAGCAAACGAACTTTTTTATCTAAAAATTTGTCAAAAGCCTAATTAAGAGTGTGTTCAGTAAAGATCCAGATTTTTATTAAAACGTTTCGGATTCAACAAACGTTTTAGACGAATCAAAATCACTCTACGTTTGGCTGGTAGGTTGGATTCTAGTTCAAAACAAAATATATTTTTTCTTAAAAATCGTACAAATAAACTATGCTGTAAATAATTTGAAACATTTTGCGGACGAGTAACAATTGCAAAAAAAAAATTAACTTGTTGCAGTACTGAAGAAAATATAATTGCTAGCGTAGGATGGAGGCAAAGAAACAGAAGTGTGGATTGCTAGGAAACCACGTCCTTGCCGATTGTTGACAACCAACATATGATCAAAGAGTCTAAGGTGAACTAGAAAAATCACGTGAAAACAAAAAGGATCAAATTTTGTTTGGATTGAGCAAACTTTTCAAACATCCTATAAAACCCGCCTAGGTAGTTTGTGGTAGTTGCATTAATGGGCGTGTAAACCTTCTAAACTTCTTAATAAAACACGTACTAGGCACGTTCTCGAAAAAAAAGGTAGTTGCATTAAAAACCGGCTCAGGCTATAGTTTAGCCGCCGATTTTGGTTGCCTGAGATATAAATCATGATTTTTCTTTGAAAACTCATCTATTCTCGTGGGAAACTTATAAGTCGCATATATATAGAATAAGTTTCCTACTGATTTAAGACCACACCCGCTATTTATATGAGAAAGTCATGACCAATTTATGAATCAATTTAGACAATAAACAAAAAAAAACTTATCTACTTTGCTTTTTATCTTCTACCTCAAGTTTTTTCAACTCCCTTGTTGTCTAGCACTTCTCTTGATGAGATTTGCCGGTATTTTAGGTGGCCTTGCTGATCTTAGGACATCCCTACTATGCGTCTCCCCCACGGGTCTTCCTGAGAGATGTTTATGAATATTTCGAACGAAGAACGAGCGTCAAATCAGCCTTACCATTTAGACCTACATCGTTGCATGTATCAAACATGTGCGACTCGTGTGATCTAGCCCTTCTAGTGTGTGACGGGAATTCGTGTCAACATACTTTTTGGCAACTTCACTGGAGAAGAAAGCAAATCAATCTACTACGATGGTCGATGCTAAGAAGGATGACCCTACATATCTGAGCAATCCCAAGCACATCGTCAAGCCTTCAGCCCATCAGCTTCCTGTGGAGGTTCGATGCTGGAGGAGAGGTTGCTGCTGATCTAGTATGCTCTGGCATGTTTCGAGGTGGATCGGCGGGAAGTTCTCAAGAAGATAAAGAAAACACCAACTTTTACTCTCTTCATGCTACGTCTTCATCTCATGTAAAAATTGATCAACCACCCTTAGATCTAGTATTACACATGATGAATGTTAAGATGAATTTCAATGAAGTCAAACTTTCTGACACCAATATGCATGAAAATCTTACCAAAAAATTGAAATTCCTAATTTTCCTTTGGGATATTGTTCGCCGTGTTGAGGGAAAGATTTAGAGATATTAAACCCGATGCTTTAATTTGACAATTTCTAAAAAAAGATCACTAGTAGGAATGTGCAAAATATACGATGAATTTCTCGTAACAACTAAAAAAGATCACTGCTACTGATTTGTTGTGAACTGGTGGGTGAGTTGTGGGGCTACTTTTCCTGGTGAGCTTTATATAAAATGAGCTTCTAGCCATCTAAACTAGGATTCCCCATGAGAAACGGAACGATCAATGGTCTACCGTCCGCGTCCGCGTCGGCGTCCGTACCAGACATAACGAGGGATAAAATGGCCCCATTCATTCCCGTGGGATGAAAAATCTCCCCATCTCTGTCCTCTAATGTGATAATTCTCCAAAAAGACTCAGAGATCGAATCTCTCATTACCGTTCCTAACCCCAAACTATTTTATAAATATTATTACTTAATTATTGTATATTTAAAAATTAGGGTAGTAATTGTGTGCGGGCATAAAGTATTTCACTTTTAGGGTACAAATTTATTCTTGAGGCAATGGTATAATGGTATGGAATGATAATACCTACCAATTATTAGAAAGTGAGCTTCAAAAAAAGTTATTAGAAAGTGGGGAATGGATTCGACGACTACTCCTTCCGGTTTTTCTAAAGAATGTTGTTTTGGACAGCGACTCGGTCTTCAAAAAACAACTTTGATCGTTACTTTTTCTATAAAATATTTATAAAATATAGTTAATATATACTTTTATGAAACTACATTCGAGATGAATCTACTTACATCACTTTTATGTTTTCAAACTCAACCTAAAATTTTTTTATTTATAGTTAAAGTTTAAAATATTTGACTTAACACAACCTCAAAACGATATTGTTTAGAAAACCGGAGTGAGTACATCCGAGAACAACGGGAGCAACGGGACCTAAGCCAATTTTTTGGTTTCATCGGCGTGTCTGAGCTGGAGCCGGACTGAGTATGCCAAACGATACTTTTAATATAATGATTGAAATCTCTAACTCTCTTTCTCCAAGATATATGCGTCTGTCTTCATATACAAGTAGATCGGTATTCATACGATGCATTTCCAAGTTGATGCAAAATCCGTGCTTCCGTATTTTCCGTGCATTCATTCATTAATTAGCCCGCCCATGACCGTATTTGTTGGTTGACGTCACGTGCATCCGTCCACCGTGGCTCCCTAAGTCCATCAGCAGTACCATCACTGCAGGTGGGGCCACTGGAGCATGTTTACTCTACACCTGTTCCAGTCAAGGTAGAGGAGGTTCTATACTAAAATGACAGTGGTTGGAATATTGAAAAGAAAAGGATTCAAATCCAACAGCTCTGTAGTCCGTGGGCTAAAGAAGTAAGGCCCTGTTTAGTTTCTAAAATTTTTTATCTCCTACAGTAAAAGAGCATGTTTGGACACATGTATGAAGTACTAAATGTAGACGAAAAAAAACTAATTGCACAGTTCTCGGTAAAATCGTGAGACGAATCTTTTAAGTCTAATTAGTCCATGAAAAGCCTTAAGTGCTACAGTAACCGCATGTGCTAATGACCGATTAATTAGTATCATTAGATTCGTCTCGCAGTTTTCTGATGGGTTCTGTAATTTATTTTTTATTAGTATCCAAAAACCCCTCCCGATATCCTTACGACACATCCGATGTGACATCCAAAAATTTTCACCTCCCAGCTAAACACCCCCTAAGATTCAAACTATGCATAACGCACGTCCGACTAAAATTCTAATGTGTCATTTTCGTTTGGTGTAAATGCAACAAGCAGGACTTAGTGCAGTTTGTCTATATAGAGTCTTTTTGGCGTAGACGCTTATACTTACGAGCGTATACTTAGTCTATGATCGTACCTACGAGCATCTTTAAAGAACTGAGCTAGACTTGTAAATGTTGAGATTCACGAAGTTACAGATTCCAGCACAAGGAATATAATCAAATGAACTATGTTCTCGCATGCCGTGATGCCTCTTATATAAACAGACTAGCTCACTAGATTTAGTCATACTAGACAATACATATTTGTATGCTAATGGACACAAAAATTAAAATACTCTCATCTCTCTCATCTCCAGCTAAAACAAGAGATCTTGTATACTCCAAAAATAGAGGTAGCTGCATACAACACAATATAAACAAATAATAATAATAATTCTATCGGAACGATTTGCTTGCAGGACAACCATATACCAAGACATTACATACGTTTATACTACCTTGGACTTTGCAGCATAACGCCTAATATAAACTAAAACTAATACGAGCAACAATCACACATATTATTTTCTTTCTCCTTTAATCCTCCCCTTTTTCTTTTGTGATACACTTTTTTGTAGCTGTCAGTGATACAACACTTGACCTACCTTTTATCAGAGATGAAATGAACCCACTAACCAGGTAAGATAACAACACACGTGGTATGGATTCTGGCCCTGATGGGCAGATTACTTGTGGCCCCTTTTTTTGCGGGTAGAATAATTTTTGTGGCCTTGTGGGGTCGACAGCACATTTGGAACGACCGGCCAGCCTGAACTGTGTTTGTAAACTTGTACAACTGTGTTTGTAAACAACGGATACCTCTAAGGCAAATGATTTTATATCATAATAACGGATCATCTAGGTATTAACCACAGAGATGAACCGATGCGATTAGGATATAATATAATAATATGAAAGTGTGAAGTTTGCGGTATAGATTGTGGATTATGCAGCCGGTACGGTCCATCTGAAATTCTGAATGGACTAGGTCGAGTGGTCGACTGAGATAGAAATTAAACTTGGAAGTCAGCCTTTGTTTGGAGCGTGGAAAGTTCCTCAGTTTCTACGTACAGTAAATCGTTTTATGTGAAGTAGTACGTGACACCTCATAGTTTTTCACGCTATAATAAAATAAAAAGTATGATGGACTTGTAGCCGGTTTGTTTGGTCATATTTACTTTATAAGTCATGATTTATTAATCGATGAACAGTATTTTTCTCTCACACCAAATCAATCAAAGTATTTTTAGCCACTACTTATAAACCAAACCAATTCGAAGCTGGCGCTGGTTCTGTGCATCTTTGGTCAGAAAAAAAATATATGGATCGTCTACTACTCCTACTTCGTGAAGCAACGGGGCTCAGTCAGAGCTGAGGGGACAAAACACGAGGGGCTTTTTGGGCAAAGCATCCCGCCCCCCTAAAATTTACCATTCCGGTATTCCCCTATGCCAGCCTTTCGCCCTTTCCTGTCCTCCGCCACTTGATTATTTCTGCTGCTGCTTTTCTCTAGTACTGCGTACCATGTATTTGTTGCAGTGGACCATAACCATCAGCCATCGCTATCCGTGTTGAAGATGCAAATCCAAAGAAGCACATAAATAACTAAACTGCAGATATCTCCGTGGTTTTTATTTTTATTTTCACAAACACTGATTAGATATTGACGGCAAATTATATCGAGACAAAAAAAACAATAGATGACAAAGATCATTATTTTTTGATTGGTTGATAACAATCATCCTGTTCATTTGAACTTATATGGCTGATAAGTCATGGTTAAAATATGAGAAAAAAATATTATTCGTTGACTGAAAAAATAGGGCTTAAGTTCAAACTGACCGGGCGAAAGATTATATGAACTGTGGCTTTCGGAACGCAGATTTGAGCCAGATTTTTATCCGCACACATATTTTAATGCAAATACTAGTAACAACCAGCAACACCTACTTTCTCCTCTGGAATTGTGATTCTTGACCACAAAATGGCAGCCTTGACACATTTCTCCGTCTCCGTCCCCAGCCCCACCTCGCTTCGCTCCTTCCATGCATATGCAGCAGCCAGCAGTCACAGCTAAGCAGAGCCCTAGAAAGATTAGACTAACGAGAGGTATCAAATCCCCATCTCCCACACTACCCATGCATCAGTAAATCATAGCAGGTAAAAAAAAGGCATGTGAACCGAGAGAGAAACAGGAAAGGAGGAAAAAAAAGAAGCCGGCTGCTGGGCTGACGCTACGGACAGCCGCCTGCACCAGTATCAGCCGCGAAAGAATTGGGAAGATCCGAGACCGAGTTCGACGAGGGGAGGCGCGACAAAGAAATATCGCCACGGAAAGGTTTCCTTTTTTCCGCCTGTTTATTATGCGCAATAATCCTCTCTTTTTATGGTCTTCCTGTTTTTCTGTATATTAGAGCTTTTTCTGTTCCTTCGGTAGCTACGAAGTGGTTGTTCTTCACGGGGACAACAGAAAAATAGAGGGAAATTTGGTTAGTTGTCCAATTAAGGTTGGTTTCTTGTTTATGGTTATATAAGCTGCTGCGTTAGGGTTAACAGCTTCGGTTGGTGAAATTGGATTGTGAGGTTACTTTGGGTTGCGACGAACATGAATGTGATGTGATATCTTTTTGCAGATGGAGGATCTGAACAAGTTTTATGCTTCTTTCTGGAAGCAATCTAGCAGTGCACTTAGTAGCCTGCACTCTGTTCATGAGCATAAGCTGGTGAGGGGAATAGCTAGATTTTTTTTACTCCCATGTAAGTTAGTCTAAATTTATCTTGCTAAAGAAGGACTTTTGGTGCTCCAGATGAATTCGGGTTCAAGGCGCAATCAAACCCAAGAAGTTCCCACCAATTCCAATAAACGTAAATCGTTGTCCGAAACTGTGGACCTGAATTCAGATGTTAGGACTTCAATTAGGAGAAAATCTTATGCTTATCACGAAGTGATTGACTTGGAGAAGCCATCGATTTCTGGTGATGTGGTGGAAGCTTTTGGTTGCTCTGCCTTTGGCAACCTTGCCAACCAAAATGGCAAGTCTCAGGATGGTTCATGCTGCATTTCACCAGAGAACACCTCACTTGCAGAGTCTCTTCAGTTGTGTAGAGACTGGAACACATCACGTGTAAGCGCTGGTGAGTCTCTATTTAACCTTTGCATCTTGTGCTAGCATGTTTCAGAACTACTTGGATGCAAGCGTGTTGCTGTTATCTTGTATGACCTATATTATGACTGTACCGGTTGCTCATGCATATGTGTGTATAATTTGAGCCTTTGATGCAAAAAAACCGTAGTGCTCAATTAATGCATGCTTGACAAAGAGGATGCTATTGGCGCACTGTTTGTTCACTGTGATCAGACAGTTACATAAATAGCTGAAAGTTGTTATGTATCTGCTAACTACTGGCATTTATTGGGTTTTGAAGAATGAGATCAATGTCATTTGACTAGTTAGATGATTTTTTTTTTTCTCGGGAGATCTGCATATCATTATATTAAGGAGAGAGGGAAATATTTTACAATCTTTCACAGGAAGGAAAAACAGCTATGTTACAGTAATGTGGTCTTTCTCAATTCTATCCATGTTTGCATTCAAATATTTTCTGCAATTTTAAGGAAGTTTAATTGTTAGCAAGCTCTACTAGTCTACTGGGCCTATTTCAATGCAAAGTTTAGTTTAGGACTGGTCAAGAACCTGGATGACATATTTGTTGCTCTAGTATACCTCTAGATCTATGTCTACTAACTAAAATTTATAAACTTCTATGTCAACAATTCATTTGAGAGTTCCAAGTTCTGCAAATCCGTATATTCCCATTGTAGGATCATTCATGCTTTAGAGCTTTAGTTGGTATATTAGACATGTCATGAATTCGACTGACCACAAGTCCAAGATCACAATGAGATTATTGGAACATTTCAGGTTTTATTCTCCTTGCTTTATTCTCGTGTGCGATGCTTTGTTGATTGCAAGCTAAATCATAATCCAACAAGATGGCCTGCACATAGAGCTTCATGACTATTCTAACCTTATGCATTTCCAGGTTCAGTTGGATCTAGTGACACTCCGGATTGCCAGTCTCCTATCAAAACAAGTAACACTGAAGCAAGACATTTACTATTTGACCTGAATGTTATTCAAGAAGAAAGCCTTCTTATGCCTTCTACTGTGTTTCCTTCTTCCTCGGCGCACCACGGAAATTTTTCAGACAACCCTAGAGAAGCTTCTGAAAAAGAATGTGTCTCTGGTTCTGGTATTGGATCAATGAAAGGATCTTCCATCACGGTGATCACGCCCAACTCAGTTGCAGACAGTTCAAGGGATGTGGTAACTGAATCCTCAGTTCAACAGAAGTTCCTTTTTGACCTTAATGTGTCACCTGAAAGCACTGACATGCCATCAGAAATCAGCGATTATAGAGATAAGGATGTAAATAATGATATAAGTAAAGGAACAGCACTCGATTCTTTCTCCCTGGAAAATAGCCTGCATGCAGAAACTTCTACCAAACATGTGGTTCTTGGAAATGATCATATGTTGGCACACAAGGATGACAGTCACGTGCTTCTCACAGCCCCAACAACTAATGGTACCAATAAGGTTCAGTCGCCAGAGTCTGGAACCATTAACAAGGAATTTTTTATCCCTGGATCTCCTCTTGTTGATAATAATTTCCATCCAAGACTTGGGATATCCCACAGTGGAGCATCAAATATTCAGGAGTTAAGCATGCTTCAAGATAAGGTCGATGATGATGGCGCAACAGCTGATATTGCAGCTAGAACCCTTCTTTCCATTTTTCAGCATAGTTCTGAATGCATTGCTCATTGCTTTGGAAGCAGCAATCAGACAACAGCTCAGAACGGGGACGACGAGCCTCAGCCTTCATTGGACTCGTTCGAGAAAATCGTGTTGAATTTAGAGGAGATCAAAGATGACGGGCAATCCATCAATGTGTCACCACCCTATAATGAAGGACCAGCATGTCGGATCAAGCTAAAGAGAGGGAGGGGTATGAGAAATTTTCAGAGGGAGATAATTCCTGGGCTTCTTCTAGGGAGGCAAGAGATATGCGAGGACTTAGAATTTATAGGTTATGAGCCAAAGAAAACTCGGTCCAGGAAAACCCGCAAGGGTCCAGGTGCATCCTCAACTCGACCAAGGCCGCGCAAACGTGGAGCTGTGAAGCACTGACCAAGAGCATCTGCATTCCGTGGCAGGGTGCCATAAGGCAGGCAATTCAGGACAGGACAGTTCAATCTAACCATGTGAATATTCGTGTGTATCAAGCCTAGCTTCAAACTCTGGTTTGCTAGTGACCATTTATTAGTTGGGGATATTCTTTTCTTTCTTTCTTTCTTTCTTTCTTTTTCCCTCTTATTATATCTTTGATGAATTGGTCAGGCTGTTAGATACAAGCCTTTTGCCTTTATATATTTGAAAGTTCAGCAATAAAGACGCAGTCATAGTGCCACAATGATCAGTCTCGAAATTCTAGACTTAGATCAGAGTTGATGAGAGGCAAAATGGTTGTATCCTGATGATATCCTAGCATTTTCATCTTGAGTTATACTGCCTTGGATTAGTGCGAAAATGTATACTTCCCTGTGTCAAATATTGTTTTGTCTCTTGACTGCTTCATCTCTGCCACAGCCCTCACTTCAATTCAGGCGATCGGACTGGCTTCACTGACTGACCTGTGAATCAAAGAAAGGCTGTCTGTTAGTACAATTTGACGACCATACTGATGGGTCCTAATGGTCCCAGATTTGCTGTCCTTTGCGCAGCATGAACAATGCACTATGCGAAATTTCACCAGAAAAACGGTGCCTTGATCTCTTCTCCAGGTCGCCTGATCTTGCGACGTCGTCCCGTCGCCATTGATGAGCAAGAGGCCATGTGGAAGTACAGGCAGGATAATAATGCCCCGGTGTCGCGAGACATCCATCGATCAGGGATCGCCGGCGAGCTCGGGGGAGCCGGAGTACTGCGTTCACTTAACTGTGTCGAGTACTCCCTCCGTCCCAAAACACCTAGAGTTTAGCAATAGAAATATTACAGGATCACTGGCTATAGATCTAATATACTAACTGATATATGATGAAGTGTAAATCCTAGAACATATACCAGTACGGAGAAATAGAGAGAGAGTGGGATACGGGTGGCAAATCATCGGCCTCCTTAGCAGAAGATGAGTTGGCCATCGCAGTGCTCGGTGGAGACTCAGTGGAGACACGGCGGTGCAGTGGCGGCGTTGTCCGCGGTCGTAGGTGCGGTCCAGTGGCGGCGGCGAACCTCGTGGTGGTGCTTTCCGTTACTGGCTGCGCACCCTCTCTAGATTGGTGTTAGGGTTTTGTCAGTGGAAACTATAGCTCGGTCAACCTCATGAAGAGAGCCGCCGGTCCCTACCTCTTTTTATAGCGCAGTGTGACGGGGGCCCATCAACCATGTAGGGTTGGGCGCTCCCGATTAGGGCGTGGATCCAAGGGCCCAATTGGCCGTGGTTGGAGATCATCTAATATTCTTCCCTTTGATCTCACCTTATGACTTAATCTCAACTTACTTACTTTATCTTGTTCCCATTCCACCACAGATCAGTGCATAGAGCGTGCCTCATCGTCACGGTCAGTTGCCATTAGATTAAACAGCTACAATACATCTATCTGTTTTGAAACAGATTCTCAACTAGACCCATATTGTCCAGAAATCATAAGCTTTCCCTTAAACCCATGCCGGCTAAGTATTATCTGAACACGCAGGATGGTAAGCCTTTTGTAAGTGGATCCGCGAGCATCTTTTCTGTTCTTATATGCTCAAGACTAATTATATGATCCCAGACTTTATCTTTCACAACATAATACTTTATGCCAATGTGTTTGACAGCACCACTTGACTTATTGTTGTGAGCATAACATACTGATGGATTATTATCGCAGTATAACTTGAGTGGTTTATGTATGTCGTCTACCACTTTCAACCCGAGCATGAATTTCTTCAGCCAATTCACCTGCCATATGGCCTCATAACATGCTACAAACTCGGTATACATTGTGGACGATGTAGTGATGTTTTGATTTAAGCTTTTCCACGATATAGCTCCTCCGGCGAGAGTGAATATGTATCCTGACGTGGACTTTCTGTCATCTCCCGCATAATCAGAATCTGTGTACCCCTCTATATGCAGGGAATCAGATCTTCTGTACATTAGCATGAGACCCTTCGTACATTGCTAGTAACGTAAAACTTTCTTTACTAATTTCTAGTGTTCTATTCCTGAATTACTCTGATATCTGCCAAGTAACCCGGTAACAAATGCTAAGTCAGGACGAGTAGACACTTGAGCATACTGTAAACTTCTGACAGCTGAACTATATAGAACCGCTTTCATTTGACCGATCTCATATTGGTTGCTGCGACATTGAAATTCTCCATATATGTCGTCCTTAACTATGGGAGCAGGTGAAGACTTATAATTTTGCATACTGTATTTCTTTAGAACTTTTTCTAAGTATGCCTTTTATGATAATCCTAAAACCCTATTTTCTCTATCTCGGTGAATCTCTGTTCCTAGGACGAACGAAGCTTCACCGAGATCCTTCATATCAAACTTTGAGGATAAGAACTTCTTTGTTTCTAGTAGTAGATTAACATCACTGCTAGTGAGCAAGATGTCATCCACATACAAGACTAGGAAAATGCATTTTCCATTCTTGAACTTTGCGTAAACGCAATTGTCCTCTATATTTTCTTGAAACCCAAACTTTCTTATAGTACTATCAAACTTCAAATACCACTGTCTAGAAGCTTGTTTTAATCCATAAATGGATTTCTTCAGGCGGCATCCCATACGTTCTTTTCCTTCCACAACAAAACCTTTCGGTTGTGCCATGTAAACATTTTCCTCTAGATCCCCATTTAGGAACTCCATTTTACATCCATCTGATGTAATTCTAAATCGTAATGTGCTACAAGCGCCATTATGATTCTAAAAGAATTCTTACATGAGACTGGAGAAAGTGTCTCATTGTAATCTATTCCTTCTCTTTGCGTGAAACCTTTCACCACAAGTCACGCTTTAAACCTTTCTATATTCCTTTTAGAGTTATGTTTAGTTTTATAGACCCATTTACAGCCTACTATCTTGACTCCTTTAGGAATTGTTTCTAAGTTCCAAACACCGTTGGTTTAAGACTCTTGTGATCCGTGAAAATATTGCACACATTACCAAGTAGATAATGTCTCTAAATTTTTAGGGCATGCACAACTGCAGCAAGTTCAAGATCATGTGTTGGATAGATGACCTCGTGCTTTCTCAATTGACGCGAAGCATAAGCAATGACTCTCCTTTCTTGCATAAGAACACAGCCCAATCCCATTTTCGATGCGTCGCAAAACACATCAAATGGTTTCTCGATATCTGGTTGTGCTAGAACAGGAGCAGTGGTCAACAGTTTCTGCAAAGTGTGGAAAGCTGCTTCACACTCCTCTGTCCACACAAACTTGTGATCCTTCTGTAGCAGACTTGTCATAGGTTTGGCAATCTTCGAGAAGTCTGGTATAAAATGACGGTAGTAACCGGCTAGTCCTAAGAAACTTCTAATCTCAGGAACTGTGGTCGGTACTTTCCAATTCATAACCTCTTGCACCTTACTTGGATCGACTGAAACTCCATTTTCTGACAGAATGTGACCAAGGAAAGGAACTTTCTTCAACCAGAATTCGCATTTGCTAAACTTAGCATACAACTTATGGTCTCTAAGTCTGGTCAAGACAATTCTCAGATGCTCTTCATGATCCTTCTCATTCTCAGAGTACACCAGAATGTCATCGATGAACACGACCACGAACTTATCCAATTCTGGCATGAAAACTGTATTCATCAAAAATATAAAGTATGTAGGAGCATTTGTCAAGCCAAAGGACATGACAAGATACTCATACAACCCATATCTGGTGGAAAATGCAGTTTTCGGGATATCTTGTGGCCTAATCTTAATCTGATGATAACCGGATCTCAAATCTATTTTTGAGAACACCTTAGCCTTGGATAACTGGTCAAACAGAATATCAATATGAGGTAAAGGATACTTATTCTTCATAGTTACAGCGTTAAGTGGCCTATAATCCACGCACATTCTCAACGTGCCATCTTTCTTCTTCTTCACAAACAAGGCAGGACATCCCCATCCAGACTTGCTTGGTCAGATAAACCCCTTTTTTGATAACTCTTCTAGTTGCTTCTTCAGCTCAGCTAATTCATCTGGAGGCATCCGATAGGGTCTCCTTGAAATCAGAGCTGTTCCGGGGATTAATTCAATTCCAAACTCAATCTCCCTATCCGGCGGAAGACCAGGTAGCTCATCCGGGAATACATCCAGAAATTCACACACTACCGGAATCTGATGAATAGGAATAACTGTCGTAGCACATGTAACACTTATAAGGTCTGTTCTCCGAGGCAATGGTACTTGGAAAGTACCCTCACCTAGGTGATCCTTAAGGGTAAGTACTCGACTCCCAGTATCTATGACTGCTCCCTAATCCTTCATCCAATTCATCCCTATAATGACATCCAAAACTAGTCTAGGCATAACTATCAAGTTCACTCGGAACTTCCTGCTACCTAATTCAAGGGTTGCCCCTCGAACCATTCGGTTGGTCAAAACATCAGCCCCTGCTGAACTTATACGGTAACCATAACCCAATTCTGTGCATAGTTGTTCATGTTTCTGTGCAAATGCTTGACTCATAAAACAATGCGATGATCCAGAATCAAATAGAACAACTGCAGGGTTTTTGTTGACAGGAAACTTACCAGCAGTGACGGGCTCTCCCTTAGGAATTTCATCCACAGTCGTACTATGCACCCTAGAATTATAAGTCTGCTGCTTCTTCTTAGGCGGATATGGACAAAACCTCGAGAAGTAGCTGGGTTGATCACAGTTATAGCAGGGTCCCCTCATTGTCCCAGCAGATCCCACAGCTCCCTTGGAACTGCCTTGTACCGTAGTTGCGGCTGCCTTGTTGGGCTGTACTGCCATCTTGTAAGGCTTCTGGGGTCCACAAAAATTCTGACTTCTCTGCTGTGGTGGCCTAAACCTAGCGCCAGGTGCAGATGGACGATAGGGAGGACGACCTCCCGCAGGTGCTCGTGCTTGGGAAGGACCACCTTCTAGGGCTCTCTTGCGAGTCTT